GAGGCTCAGCAGTGTGCGTCTCCTAGTCTGGGAGCACCACGGGCCTGGTCAGAGTGTCCTCTGCTCAGCAGCTGTGCCCAGCAGGCCTGGGCAGAGTTACTCGTAGATGGACAGTGCACGCGCTCCCCTACAGGGCAAGACCCGGAATCCTGCTGGTCTCACTGGTTTTCTCCCACGGCCATCTCTCGCAGGGCCAGTCATTTGCGTCTCTGTGTCCTTCTCTGGCAGGTGGGGTGGAGGTGGGGTCATAAGAAGCACCTCTGTCTTTGCCCTCCTCCTGCCTCCATTGGACTTGGTGCTCTGTTCTAATTCCCAGCGCTGCTATTGACTCCTCTGCTAGAGGCTTCCGTTCCTGCCAGGCCAAAGCCTCAGGTGCCCTTCCTGGTTGCTTGATGTGCATTGACTTCAGTGGCCAGGCCAGAAGGCGTGCTGTGTCTTGGATATGTCCCCCAGAGTTCACGTGTTGGAAACTCAATGCCAGTGCAACCACGTGGAGAGGTGGGACCTTCACGCGGGAGTTAGGTCACAAGGGCTTTGCCCTCATGAATGAATTTGTGCTGTTACCACAGCCATGGGTTGGCTATCAAGGGAGAGGTTCCCTGATAAAGGGTGAGTCAGCTCCCTCTCTCACGCTCATGAGTTTATAAACTTGCCCTCTGCCCTCAACTATGGGATGATGCAGCAAGAAAACCCTCACTAGATGTGGTCCCTCAACCTTGGACTCCCCAGACTTCAGAACTGTAAGAGATCAATCCCCATTTGGGCTAGTCCTTGGCGTGGTTAAGGCGGCTGCATCCCACATGACTGACAGTGCAGTCCCAGACCTGGAGGCTTGAGAAACATGCCAGGCACATGTGCATGCATGCCCCGAGTCCTGAGCGGAGAACAGAGGAGAAGGGATTGCAGCGCAACACTGCCCCATGGGGGGTACTTTCTCCTCTCACCCTCTCTCTCTCTGGAGAACACGCACACTCTCCAGAATGAAGGGGGGGAGGAAGCACCAAATGAATCCTGTTCTTCGTAAACGATCTCAGGTATTCTGTTACAGCAGCACAAAAGGGGCCGAGGGGAGGGCAGAGACCTTGCCTTTGCTTCTCTGGATTTATCCCGGCAGCATCTGGGCTCCTGCTGCCATCGCCAACGCCAGCTGCTGGACTGTGATCCGAAGCTGTTGACATGGCTTTCCTTCCCAATGAACAACCATGAGCCTTTGCTGCGCAGTGACTGCCCACAGTTCCCAGCCAGGACTGATTGCTCAGGTGCCCTTCAGTAACTTCCTGAGTTAAGCTGAGGGTTCCAAGGAACGAATCCTCTAAAAAGAAATGGTGCTACCATTTCCACAGAAGGAGAGAGGAGGAATAGGGTCTGTGGGGGTGGGCAGTCAGAGCAGTTCTGAGGTCTGTTACCACTGCTGGCCAAAAGTGGACAGAACAAGCTGAAATGTGCATTGTTGTCCGTGGAGTTCTGAAGAGCCCACGGACTCCAGGGCATCCAGGTTTGAGGGTGCTGCTGGGTGCCCGAAGCCCTGGGCAGCTGTGAAACCTTGGCATTTGATGCATGGTGCTAAGGAGTGGCATCTAACTTCAGTGACAGAGGTCCCCCCTCAAATGGGCGCAGCTCTGCTAGGCTACTGAGTGTGAAAGACAGGGCTGCCGAGCATAGTTGTCTGCAGCTGTTGAGAGATCTGTCTGGCTGACAGCATGAAAAGCAACCAAGCAGAAGAGGAAATGAGATCCACATCCATGGAGATGCATGTAAGTTGCATGGAGTTATTCACGTAGGAACATCCAGCTGAGACATCAGCCAGTAAGTCATTCCAATGAAGGCAAAAGCTTCTCGAGTATCTGCCTTGTGCTGATATTAGGACAGGGATGTGGAAGATAAAATGAACAGGACAGATCCCAGCCTCAAGGATGCCATGTGTGATTGAGAAGAATCCCTCCATATTCCATAGGAAACTGTGTTGAAGGCCACACGGGGTCTCAACCTTCAAGGAACTTGCAGTGCCAGCCCAGGTGCAGGAAAGGAAGCCTCTTATATACTGTTCATTCAAGCATAGAAAGGGAACATCTTTTTGGAGGATAATTTGGAATTACCCATAAAATGTACAAAATGTAGGGCTGGGAGATAGCGTGGTGGATGGGGGCACTGGATTCCCCCATGGCCAACCATGATTCGAGTCCCAGACCTGGCAGCTTGCTTTCTCGCTTTCCCTTTCTCTCTCTCTGTCTCTCTCAAATCAAATTAAAAACAATCACTAATGGAATTAAATAAACAATTCTTTAAAAAAAAAACTATAAAAAATTTACCATATGTATATTCTTCAACCCATAATTCTACCTTTGGGTATATCTTTGTTCCAGAAATACTTGCACAGATATTTGAAAACCATGAATGTCTTAGTTTGTTGTTGCATTGGTAACAGAAATACACGAGACTAGGTGAGTTATAACGAAACGGAGGTTTACTGACTCACGGTTCTGGTGGCTGGAAAGTCCAGAGGTGTAAGGCTGACACTGGCCTGGCCTACAGCATGGCCGACAGAAACAGGATGACGGGCATGGGCCGAGACTGAGCAAACAGCAGGCAGCTTCATGGTGTGTTCACCACCCTCTAGGCCTCACCACCTCCAATACCAAATTCCAAACAGGAAACCGGGGGACAAAGCATTATCTAAATGATAACAATACATTGTTTTACATGTTTTCTATAGCATTATGTAGAACAGGGAAAATCAAGGGGGGATTTGATCCTGCTAATCAGTAGCAGAATGGCTGAGTCGTGTCACATCTGTACCATCAACTGCTGTGCAGCGATTGTGCTGAATCTATGAAATTGCCGTGCTGGGTCATTTTGATGTAGGGAATGACAATTTCAGATATTAACCCAAAATGAGGACTGCCTCTATGTCTCTATCTCTTCGTCTTTAAAACAGGGCAAAGAGAGCCCCACAATCTCAGAGTTAGTGTAAGTAGGAACTGCAATACCATGTCTGAAGCACTTACATGGAGTTCAGTACTCAACAGTTGCTTAAATCACTATAGATGTATTCATATTAATATGAAAGGAACTAAAACACAGTGTTGGGTGCAAACAAATACATATAGGTTTATAGACATCACTAAAGCATGAACCCATTTTAGACGGGAAGACGCCCGTGTGTTTGAATGCCTAGGGAAAG